CCAGGGCGCGGCCCTCACGGGCCGCCCGTCCGGGTCGACAAAGGCCCCGGCGCACCCCTTCTCCGGCTGCTTCTAAAGAAAACAGAAGGGGCGTGAATCTTGCAGTCAGGAGGCGGCACGATCGGGCTTTGAACCCGGGTCGATCTGACCTCAGTCAGCTTTTCCACTGAAACGGGGAGATGGGGTTCCCTGGGCCAGGGGGAAGAGGGGACAGGGTGCGGGCGAAGGAGGTGGCCCGGCGGGCTGGGGTCCAGCCGCCTGCGGTGCAGCCGCTGCCGCCGGTGGTAATGGGAGCCAGACGCCGTGGCCGCCGCTAATGCGCCTCCCTCCCGGCCACTAATGGAACCATTAATGCCCGGGCGCCGCGGGCTCCGGGCCGCTCGCCGCCACTCCCCGCTGCGCATGCGCGCGCCGGCCGCCCCGCCGCCCGCCGCCAGGAGGCAGCCTGGTCCCTCGCAGCGCCGGTGCCGGGGGCTGCCGAGCTGGGGCGGCCGGGGCTCCTTCCGCCGAGTCTCACCTCTGAGCTAGATCACAAACGCACCTCCGTTCCTCTCCCTGTACCAGGTCGACCTTTTTCCCAGCCTAGACGTCCTTCCTCTGCAGGGAAGCCTCAGGGATCTTTGACACCCAGATCAACCTTTTGCCCTACCCTACTCTTAAACTCTTGGCTCTTCACTGGTTGGCATTCGAGCCTGGCCTGGCTGGATCTGTCCTCCTTGGCACCCTCCCGCCTATCCTAGGCTCTGGTGTCAGCTCCGGCATCAACTAGCCACTCAGAGGTCATACACTTCCACCCCTCCTGTCCTTTGCTCCTGTGGCTACCTTGACCTAATTCGCCCTTCCCTTTCTTTGGATGCCCTGAAATCCACTCATTCCCTGTGCTTCAGCTCAAAAGTCCTATTCAAGGGAAAGCCTACCTGAACCTACCTCACTGCACCCCCATGGAGCTCTGCCTTCCCCAGACTCTACCTCTGGCAGATCATCCTTGGGGGTGCCTGCATCCACATGTGCCCTCCCAACCCACTTACCCTGGGGCAGGACAGCTCACCCTGGGCCTGGTGGAGGGGTAAGGGAGGCCTTCTGGTGGCAGAGATAGGGTAGATTGTTTGAGACAAAACAAATTCTGGTGGGGAGAATCTGGACTTGGGGTGTCAGGAGACCCTCAGTTCCTCCTTTAGCCTCATTTTCCCCACCTGCCGACAATAGTGAGAGGGTACCATCTGGTCTCTGACGACCTTGGGGTGGATCACATGAGGGACTCAGTTAAATGGAACTGGCACCAAATGTGTCTCCTGAAAGGCAGTAGGAGAAGGGTGTATGGTGGTCTGGGTCATGCCCTCTAGTAGGTGGGTGAGCACAGGAGCTGCTTTCCTGCTTCTCTCCCACAGCCGGATCTCCCAGCGTGGCCTACACAGCCCCCGCCTTCCTGCCTGTCTTGGGAACAGGTGCTTGGATGTAGATGGGTCCCAGAATGGCTCCCAATACCTCTCAGCAGCTTTCAGGAACAGTAGCCAGCAGTTAACTTGTCCAGGAGTGACGGGGGCTCCCAACACTCCCCAAGAAGGAAGTAGGGGACCAATGCTTAGCAACTGTCACTGACTTAAAGGAGCAGAGCACCTGACGTGCACGGGAAGGGTTCTAGGATCGGGGCAGCAAGTCTGTCTAAAGAACGGGAGGAGGTCAGGTAAGAGGCAACAGCTGGCCCAAAGACACAGGATCCCAAGAAAGGGATCCAAACCAAAAGAAGGTAAGATGAAAGCTGAGACAAGAACTGGTATCCAGAGAGGGACTAACCAAGAACGATAAATAGAGCCAGATTCCATAAGAGTCAGACAAAAGTCCAGAGAGTTTCAGGCCCAGAAATAGAGACCTACACAGAGTCGAGCCCAAGGGAGACACTGAAAGACATACAGTGGCTCAAAGATAGGCAGACGGGCAGAGGAGAAGGGACACTGCCTGTCAATACAAGGAAACCAGGCAGCAAGCTGAGAACTGGAAGGGAGGCCATGCCAGGAATGGGGGGCTGAGACATCTGGCTGGGGCTGCAGGCCTGGGACAGCTTCCTCTCCTGGGGAGGCAGCGGGAAGAGTCAGAGGGAGGTGGTAATGGCAGCTGGCTGGCTGGGCCATGCACAGAATGTGGAGAATGCGGGCTGCCTGCCCCGGCATGTCCCCCAGCGGAAGCAAATGCCTGGTTGGGGGGGGGGGCCAGGAGCAGGCAGGCTGCCCCAGGCCACCCCCTCACACCTGCTGCCCTCTGAATGAGGGTCAGGCCCTCGCATGGGTGGGTTGAAGGGACTGTGGCCTCAATCTGCCACTGGGCACCACCTATCTGGCCACCCTATCTGGGCCTCAGAGAGAAGGCCCCAAGGCACCTACCTCCCAAGGGTTTAGGGAGGCCTTGGGGAGAAGAACAAAAGGGCCTGCTAGCTGGGAATATGAGGGCAGCCCAGATACCTCAGCATGGGTGTTGTCAGGGAGGCGCTGCTCAGAACCGCCAGGACAGGCACTGGACAAGTTCTGACGACCAGGCAGCCTCCAGCAAGGGGCCTCCCTTTCCTGAATCTCAGCACCCCCAGCCCGCTTATATACAACAGGGCTGGTGATTCCTACTTCACAACATGGGGTGGATTTGATGATCTGGCCCCAGGCCTGGGGCTGGGCACAGGGTAAATGCTCAGTCAAGAGTGGTTACTATTATTATCATCATTATCATTGGCAGCACTTACGAGCCCAGGCTCTGGAGTCAAACAGCCTCAGTTCAAAAGCTGCCTCTACCTGTTGCTAACTGGGTGACCTTGGGCAAGTCCCATAGCCTCTCGGGCTACACTGGAACTAATGCTTGTGTTGACTCCTGAGGCGTTGAGGATTCCGTGTTCATGTTCAGTCAGCACGGGCTGAGCCGTGTACCAGGCACATGCAGCCTGGAGCACAATAGTTATCATCACTGCAACTTCTAGCAGCAAGAGTCCTGTGAGGACCTGGATTGAGGCCCAGTCTCTCCTGGTATGGTGACCTTAAGCAGGACTCTTTTTCTGTCAGGGCCTTACTTTGCCTCACCTGGAAAATGGACCGGGCCCAACCTGCTAGGCCTCAGGTCACTTGTATCAGGAACATCTCCCCATGTGGTGGCAGAGAGGGTCTAATGAGATGATGCAGTGTGGGCAATGGCTGGGGCAATGTAAGCATGTGGGGGCGGGGGGTGGTTAGAGTCCTTCTGCTTTAGTTTTTTTATCTGCCAAAGGACAGAAATCCCTGCTGCTATGGAATTTTGCTCTTATCAACTACAATGACAAATGTAAAAAATGCTGAAAACGGGGCAAAAAAACACAGCTCATCCTATGAATGCGTGTCCCTGTAACCTGGATCTGGGCTGGAGCTCCTTGAGGGCAGTACCACTGGGGTTCCTTCCTGTGCTGGCCTCTTCCCAAGCCCAAGTCGTAGGCCTTACCAGATCCACACCCTGGTCCCCTTCCCCTCTGGTCTCAGGGATTGGATCTCACCCTCAGTACAGCTGTCAACCTTCCATAGCTCCCTAGTGCCCCAGGACAAAGTTCACAAGTCTCATAAGGGCTCTCTGAGATCTGACCCTTGGTCACCAATAGTCTCACATCCCAGCACTCAGCACTCGCCCTCCAGAGCCCAGACTTCTCAGATTCAACTTCCCTCAACTACTGGCTGTCACCTCAAGGCCTTTGCACAAACTCTTCCCTCTGCCTGAAGGAGTTCTCCTTCAGCCCGCTTTGCTAGGCTCACTTCCATACCCTCTTCGGGTCTCACTAAAAAGGTTTCTTCTCCAGAGAGCCCTACCTAACTTCCCACAGCTTCATGGGCTTCCCCAGCCCAGTCATGATGACTCTAGACAGTCACTGTCTGAAGCTCTGTCTACTCCAGGGACTGTGAGGCCTGTGGGATCAGGGCTGTGTCCTTAGCACCCACCAGAACAGGCTCATAGGGGGCTGGGGAGGGACTAATGACAGGACTGTCACCCTCCCGAGAGTTGCTCTAACAAGGCCCAGCCCAGCCCAGGCTCCTGGCCATCCACACCATCTCAGAGTTGCTGTCTTAGCCCCTGGCCTCAGGCCACACTGGCCTTCCACTTCCTCTCCTTGCTGTGCTCCATCCTCAGTCTTTCAGTGGGCCTCCCAAAGAGGCCCGTCAGCTTCACAGCTGCTGGATCCCACTCATCCTTCAAATGTGCCCTGTCCCGAGGACAGACTTATGTGCCCTGTCCCGAGGGCAGCTAGATGAGATTCACACCTGGAGGCGGGTCCAGCACACCCCAGGTTCCCCGCCACCGCAGCACTGTGAGTTCTATTGGGCCCAGTGGTAAAAGCGAGGCTCAGTCCTGGTGCTGCCACCTCCCAGCAGGACGACCTATTGGCACTTCAGTTCTCTCATCTGTAACCCAGCACTGTGGCTGAGTAGTCACAAGCCAACCTCTCTGGATTCGAAAGCTAGTTCCAGGATTTACTAACCATGTGACCCTGGGCAAATTACTAACCTGGCCTCAGTCTCTTCTAACCAGCATAATTGCAGCACCTGTCTATTAGGATGGTTGTAAACATATCTGAAGGGGGTTTAGAGCAGGGCTGGGTATGTGGCCGGCTGTGAGAGTTGGGTGAGATAAGCCACGCAAGGTGCTTATCGCCCTGGTGCCTTGCCAGCACTCTGGATACGGGAGCCATCATGGTGATGATCATCTCTGCTTGTCCCATCAGCTCTGTGGGGGCCGGGCTCCAAGCCTGAACTCAGGTAAGCTGTGCTGTCTGATGGACCCCTCAAGAGTACACCTAACTGGAAGCCTCTGAAAACACCTCCTTAAGCCTTCAAAGTCCAGTCCTTGGCTGGTACGTAAATTTTTCCACAACATCTGTGCATAGGAGGCAGGCCTCCCCCTGACCCCCTTTGGAGGTGAGGGCTCACCTCTTGAGAAGTCAGTTTGCAAGCAGCCCTGTTCACAGGGAGCCCTCGCCCAGCCCACCCATCTGCACCTCTTACCTGTCCCAGGCCGGCCCATGATGACTTCCTTCTTGGGAGCAGGATGGCTGGTATAGCTGCTGGGCACCAGGACGGGTAACAGGGCAGCAGGTGAGGGGTGGAAGGCCACCGGCTGAAAGGGTGAGGAAGCCAGGCCAAAGGTGGGCATCGGCTGGGCCACTGCCGTTGGCGCAGCTGGAGGCACGGTGATGGGCACGGGGGCCGACAAAGGTGGGGGCAGGCCAGGTTTCCCACTGGCCACCCCTGGAGGTACTGGGGTCTCTCGGCAGCCCCGCCCAGGTCCCCCGGCCCGTGCCTCACCGGCAGTGGCCACCTCCCCTGGGAATTTGGAGGGCAGTGGCACGTCAGGGTTGCGGACAATGACAGGTGAGTCCCGTTGCACAGCAGGCACCCTGCGCACGGAGGGCCCAGGATCGGAGGTCAAGCCAGCAGGTGGGGGCAACAGCAGCAATGGCGAGGGCTGGCGGGATCGGGAGAAGGGCACGGCAGGCGACACAGACCGGAAGCCAGCCGGTGTGGAGGGTGTAGGTGTGTGGGACACCGAGTCCACGCCAGAGTCTAGGCTGTCGCTCTTAGGGAAGTCTGGGGCGGCTCCTCCACCCCCTGTGCCAGTAGCCCCCAAAGTGCCTGGGTGGGGCAGCAGCTCTGTCTTCCGCCGCCCAGGGCTGATGGGCACGGTGAAGGTCAGGTTGGTCTGGAAGGTGGGTAGGATGCCGGAGGAATGGCGCTCTCGTGGGGCAGGCGGCGGCGGGTGGGGGCCCAGGTCTGGTGGCGTCAGCACACCTGCCTTAGGGGTGCTGGCGCTTAGGTGACGACTTCGAACAGCAGTGCGCTGGATGACTGGCGAGGCGGTGATGGGGCTGAAGTTGGCAGGACGGAAGCCAAAGAGTGGTGAGGGGGAAGGGGACGGGGCCGGCGAGAAGGGTGACTGTGTAGACACGGGTGAGAAGGAAGGTGTGCCCGAGCGTGAGCTGCCCAGGGACACCAGCATCACAGCCGCCTCACACTCATCGAATTCAAAGCGGGACAGGTCAGCAGGGGCCACCAGGCGTGGGCGAGAGTCACCACGGGCTGCCACGCTACTGGCCTCACTGTCCCTGGACGTCTCATCACCCCAGTCAAACTCGGTGCTGCCCTCGCGGGCTGCCACCCCAGCAGGCCGCCCAGCCCCACCGGGGCCACTGTCCGCCAGGCCCTCCATCTCCTTGGTCCGCATGGACAGGTGGCGTGAGCAGTAGCCCCGCCGCTGGGACTCCTTCATGCAGCCATCCCGCGAGCACAGCCGTCGCCACTGCTTGCCGTTGAATTTCTTGCGGATTCCATTGGGCGTGCAGACCACGTCGCCCTTCTTGTACTTTTGCTGTGCGGCTGTCAGTGGCGTACGGGCCCGGGCAGCCGGTGCAGCCCCCTTCTCCAGGGAGGCTACGCTGCTGCTACGGCTGCCACCCTGGCTCCCCTCCTGGCAGGGTGAGGGTTGCTCCCCGGGGCGGCCAGGGCCTGTGAAGGCTGGGGACTTGGGTGGAGGTGACAGGAGCTGGGGCGGGGGCAGTGGCAGCAGGGCTGGGGTGCCCAAGGGTGGAGGGTGCTTCTCCTCACTCTCTTCACAAGCCCCCAGGTTGCCACCAAAGCTGATCTTGGAGACCTCGGCATCCTCAGGCTGCTTAGGGTCCAGGGCCGCAGGGCAGGTGGGTAGGTTGGCCCCTGGATCAGCCTGCTCCTCCTCGGGCCCGGTAGGGGGCTTCCTCGGCAGGGCTTCGGGTTCCCAGGGGGGCCGCAACAGGCGCAGGCTGGAGCGGACCACCCACACAGCCTCCTCAGGCTCACATTGTGGTGGCTGTGGGGGTTGTGGGACGGAGGCTGGTGGGCCTGGTTGAGAGTTAGGTCCAGGGCTGAGGCGGACCTTGTAGGCTGCTGGCTTGGTGGCCACCTCCACCACCACGCCCTCACGGTAGGCAGCCACACCAGGTTCCACACAAGTACACACAGCTGTGCCCACAGCCAATGCACCTGGTGGTGGCGTGGCATCCAAAACCACATCCACACCACCGCCGGGTACCCCCTCGTAGAAAGTCAGGGCCCGGTCCCCAGGAAACTGCACACCCAGGTCCTGGCTTCGGCGCACCTGGCGCACCACACCTGGCAGGAAGAGGCCATCCCCACGCCGAGCCAGAACACGCTGGGACCGCAGCTGCCGCAGGTCATAGCCAGCACTGGTGCTGCCAGGGGGCCAGGGGCCTGGCCCACAAGCTTCGGCTGGCTCATCCTCCAGGTCAGCTGAGTGCTCACTGGCTGTGTCGGTGGAGGAGGAGCGGGTGGAAGTAGGTGGCCGTGGAGGCACACCTAGGGTACCGGCCTCCTCTGGGGTCCTCGAGCGCTCTTCAGAGCCCCCAGCTGCCCCACCATTGCCACTGCCAGTCCCATGCTCCTCCACATACTTCTTCTTGGGTGCTCGTGACTTGAATGTGGCGGTCTTGCGGCTAAGTGAGGGCTCCCAGCGGCCTCCCTCCCCCTCTACCTTGGGGTCCTCAGCTGGGCCTGGGGCTGGGTCATCAGGGTGCAGTTCCACAGGCAGCCCCTCAGCTCTAGGGCCCCTCTCGGCCTCCTCCTCCTCACCTTCCTCGGCCTCTTCTGGCCCTGGCTGTTGCTGCTGTTGCTGCTGCTGTGCCTCATCGTCGTCCTCCTCTGGCTTGTCGCCCTCCTCAGCCCCTCGCCGCCTCAGGGCCTTGGCCCTGGTGGCTGGTGGGGACTTGCCGCCACTGCCAGAACTTGGGAGGCCGGTGCATGCCTTCTTCATTGGCTTCATCTTTTGTCCACCTGCAGGGAAAGAAGGCAGACAGGGATCATGGCGACCAGATCAGAAATACCTCCAGGTGTTTGCATTCCCCAAGATTTCCCACTTGCTGAGGCCAATACCTCAGCCCCATGATTCCCCAAGGCCTCCTCCAGGCTGGCCCTGGGCACCACCCAGACCCAGTCTGGCACTCATAACCCCTGAGCTAGCCCCTTGGGACACACATCCATCTGCTCCCACTGCAGAGGACACAGCAGGCACAGGCACACACTCAGGCTGCTCAAAGGGGAACCAAGAAGCAGAAACAGGTTACACCTATGGAGTACCCTCTTTGTGCCAAGCCCTGGCCACATGCCTTTATTAACCCATCTCACCCTCCCAACAGTCCTAAGAGGCAGGTGCTACTATCAATTCCATTTTACGCTTGAGAAAACAGGCACAGAGAGATCAAGCAACTTCTCCAAATTCACCCAGCTAGGAAATGGCAGAGCTAGGATCTGAACCCAGGCAACCTGGCTGCAGTCTGTGCTCCTAACCCCGTCAGTGTGCCACGTCACGTGATCCAGAAGGCACGCTTCCTTGCACTGTCACAGTCCAGAAAGCACACACACGCACACACACACACACACACACACAGACACATGGTGACAGAAAGGGAGGCGACAGAGAGGTGAGGTTAGCCACCTCCCCCCACCCCTCCGGGCAGCCTGGCATGGCCGGGCATTGTGGGAAGGAGCAGGCAGCCGAGAGTCCCGAGGGACAGCTGCCCACTCCGCTCTGCACCCTGGGCCTGCCAGGTAGAGCCATCTCCCGAGATCCTGGCAGGGAGCAGGCAGGGGCACGTCTGGGGCAAGAGCTCGTACCCAGTACTGCCACAGGGCCGTGCATGAGCACACGCACGCGCACAAACACACACACACAGACACACACGTCATCACACAGTGGGGCACAGAACTACACCCCAGGGTTTCGCTGTCCCACTGGATAGGAGCCTGCCCCTCCTCCCACAGCACCCAGCGTGAGACCTACAAGCCCCAGCCCCCTCCCCTTCTGGCTTGCATGCATCCCCGCCCTGACTGGGCTGGCTTTGGCAGGGTGGCTGTGCTGCCGGCCCCCCTAACCCCCAAATATGCCCTCCAACTCCAGGTGGGGCTAAGTGGGAGAAGGTCAGAGAAAGCAGGACAAGCCCAGCAGGCCAACCTCACCCACTTCCTGAACAGTCATTATTGCCCGCCCCCTTTCAAGCTGCCCTGAGAAAAGAAAGGGGAAAAAACTTTACTCTGAAGTGACTAAGACAACCTGAGAGGCCAAATGTGAGCCCCTGGGAGGGTGGGGAGGGGGAGGGTCCCAGGACTGTAAGCCAAAGACAATCATAGGCACCCCTGACTCAGTCTTCTGGCTACCACGGGACCCCTGACCTCATGCTCTCCTAGTTGGTCGGCTCCCCTGGGGACTGTGCCGTCCTCAGCCTGTCCTTCTCTGGGAGAATCCTGGGGTCCTTATAACAGGCAGTGCCTGGAGGACTGGGGGTTTCTCACACTGGGGCACAAGCAAGTGCTGAGCAGTTGCCACCGCCTTCTTCCCGCTGACCTGCTGGGCCCCAGTCCTGCCCAAACACAAACCTTTACGTACCCCACCCAGGGCCTACAACCACAATGTCTGGCACCCCTGCACCCTGTTGCCTGGTCCGGCCTCTTCACCCCAGCAGCCCAGTCTTTTCCTTTCCCCTAGGGCCTACTCTTCCTGTCCACCCGGCTCTGAACAACTCCCACCCAAGGCCCATGGGCCCTCACCTCCCTCAGAATCTGAGCAGTAACTCATGAAGCCCAGGTCAGCACCGGCCCTGGCTCTCCAGGGTCTCATGCTCTCTGCTCCCACCAGCCCTCCTGGCACCAGTTTCCCTGCCACTCTCTGCCATCCTGTCACCATCTCTGTCTGTACCTCTCTCCTCACTGGCCCTAGGCCCCCTCCTCAGTAACTGGCTCCCTGTCACTCTCGTCTACCTCTGCCACCTCTTCCTCCTAGTCACTTTCCTGTCAGCCATCTCCGGACCTGTCACCTTCTCTCCTCATCACCTCTCCATGTCACCCCCTCCAACTCTGTCCCCTCCCTCTCTCTGACACCCTGATCTAGTCCTGTCACCCCTCCATTCCTGTTATCCATTCTTTGCCCCGTCATCTCTTTCCGTCACCCTTCCTCCCCAACACTTCCTCCACTCCGTCCCCTTACCCATCCCAGCCCACCTACCCCTTTTCCCCGTCCCCCCTACCCGTCTCTGCCACCTGTCCCCTCTCGTCCCCCCAGCACCCCAAAACCTCCTGCCCGTGTCAACCCTAGCCCCGCCCCTCACCTCGGGCTCGGCGGGGTTTCGGGGCGGGGGGCCGTGGCCCCGGCTCAGTCCGGTCCGGTCCCTCCCCGCCCCCCCTCCGGCTCTCCCTCTCGATTCTCCCTTTTTTTTTACTCCAACACACAAAATGGTGAATGGACCTGCAACAGCTGGAGCAGCCAGCCAATCAGTGGCCACAACCCCGCTGACCGGCGCCATTCTAGGCCAATAGATATTCGAAGCCAGGTAAACTCCGCCTCTCGTAGACGAGCGACGCTCACCACCACCAATCGCGTCCACCCGGCAGCGCTAGTGGGAGGGGCCAAAGTCCAAGACCGGCCTCCCTCTGGGACCGACACCAACCTAAGCCTACGACCGCCTGATCGGTCTAGGTCCCAGCCCCACAACAAGTGATGGACACCAGCATTAACCAATTGAAGTCCTTCTTCATGACGACGGATGACTACAGTACCCAATCGCCCTGCATCCTACGCCGGAACCCAACCTCTGTGAGGGACAGTAGCCAATAAGCTGCAAGGAGGTGGGATTAAGGGATGGTTCTTCCAATGAGCAGGCTTGGAAGGCGTGGCTTGAGAGTTTGTTGACGGGGTGGTCGCAATGCCTGCTGGGAATGGTAGTCTCCTTACGCCTCCGGCCCATAGTAGATAGTACAACGCAGACTACAACTCCCATGTAACAGAGTGCCTGGAGCACCAAAGAACCCGGGAGAGGAGAAAAAGTAGGAAAGGGCAGTTCCTCGTGAGTCTCACTGGACACCAGAAGCATCTTAGACCCAGGGCCCCAACTCACCCGGATTCCCGGCTCTGGCGTCGCCGGTGGCTCCTCTCAGTGGCGGCGGTAGCGGCACGAGGGGGAGGTGCAAGGAGCAGCCAACCGCCACCCGCGAGCCTCGCAGCCAATCATCGGCAGCCGGGGCGGCGCAATGACCTCACCGGGTTCTACTCTCTTACCCCTCCCCCACGTGGTTGTTGCTGCCGGTAGCCCGGAGTAGGGAAGTTTGGGGTGGGGGGGAGGGGAAAGCGAGCGAGTGATGTCACCTTTCCCCCGCTTGATTGGCTGTCGAGTGGCCGCGACTGCGACCAATCAACAGCCTCGGAAAGTCTGGCGCGGCCCCGCGGAAAGCCCTGTTGCCACCGTGAGGGGAGAGAACGCGCGTGTGGGGTGGCGCGCGCTGCAGTGGAGTTCGGGCGCGCGGCCTGGGGCTTGGGGACCCTGGGAGGGGTCACTCACCTCTCCCCAAATTTTGACATTTAGGGCGGCACAGTTTTCTGACAGCCCCCTTAGGCTTGAAGGAGGGTGGCACGAGATGCGGGCGTGCAAAGCTTCGTAGGTTTCACGCTGCATTTTGGGGGTGTTCACACCCGGCGGGAGCGAGATTATTTTAAGGTTCACACTGGGGATGAAGAGAAAAGTGTTATGCCCTGTCAGTTTATTACTGCTGATCAGCTGTGGGGTTACACTAGACGTGAACCTGCCTGCAAGCGTCCATACTCTCCACATTGGAGTTGCTCCCATAGAGGGTAATGGGGGGCAGTTAAATGGCTGTAGGGGAGGCTTCTGCTACCTGGAATGGGTTCCCCGTTGCCAAATGGGAATCCCCCCACTTGTGAAGAAAATGGACCCAGCCTACTGCAGATCCATACTGTCCCTCTACTTGTGAGAGAGGGAGGTATGGCATCTGGCCAGTTGGTGAGCATCTCTGAAGAAATAAAAGTTGTCCAATGAGGTTCCCTGAGTATGAAGGATTCAGATTACTTACGGGGGTAAGGGCAGGGGAGGGGTGGGTGAAAGGCCCCACCATCCACAGAAGTTATGTGTGGAAACTGGGGGGATATTTCGCTGTCCACAAGGTCTTCACAGTTACACAACTGCTTACACTAAAGTTTCTACTGTCACATGATTATTACTGTTTTCGAGATTCTGAAAGAGAGTTCATGTTGAGTGGGCGCCGGGGTTGAGTGGGTCCCAACTTCCATGTTGAGTGGGCCCTGGGGTTGAGAGAAATTTGACAGGGCAGTCTATACTGTGCACATTGGGCAGATGTTGGGTCTCAGGGGAGTTTGCACGCATCAGAGGGTCCGGTGGCCTAACTTCAGCAGACCCTGGGAGAAGAGGTTCACAGCAGGCACTAAAAGTCCCCTCCCCCACCATGGAGATGTGTGCTGTCCATGTTAACTTTGTCATGGACAGGAAAGAGATTGTACTGTCTCCGGAAGGCTCATACTGGGCAGCAGTTCACATGGCCCATGGAGGTGTGCATTGGTGGTGGAAGATTTCCACTGATTCGGCTGGTGTTTCTTGTTCGGCAATTGGCATTAGGTGTGAGGTAGGGCTAAGCTCACTCTGCCCAGAGAGCATCCTGCTGTAATGAAAGGTGGTCTCTGCTGTGGGTCAATATTATCTCAGGTCATGATGTGTGCATGATATCCACGGAGGGATCCCCTCTACTTATTGGAGTTCTACCATACATGAAGGACACCCATCTGTGGGTATTCACACTGTCCAAGGCCTATTTCTCCTATCATGGAGAAAAGGTGTGTACTGGGAGTTGTACCTTGCCCCTGAGAGAATTACATAAAATGTAATCAACTTAGTTACACAATTCATTGAAATGACATTGTCCTGGGTGTGGGGGGTGATGTCGCACAGGCTACTGTGGTCAGATCCCAGCTGGGCTTCTTCCTAGCAGTATGACCTTGGGTAAACCACTTAATCTCTCTGTGCCTTGATTTTTCCCTCTGTAAGGGTAAAAGAAACCCATAGCATAGGGGCCTCCCCTGGTGGCACAGGTGGTTGAGTGCCACGCTGTGAAGATGTCCACAGCCTCTGCAGCACCGGTTCAATCGCGCAGGTTCGATCCCAGCCTGCCGGCCAGGGTCCCACATGGCATGACAGACCTCTCCTGTCTCGCCCGCTGCTCCCCTCAGCAGTGTATTTTGTCAGTCTGCCTGTTCTGTTCCCTGCTCTGTCTCTGGTGGATCCTCTCACGCTCCCAGGCATCTGGCCTGTACCCTGGTTCTTGTATAAATAAATAAATCTTAAAAAAAAAAAAAAAAAAGAAACCCACAGCATAGGGTAAAGATGATGTAAAGAGTTAACATGGGTGAAGCATTTAAGACAGCGTGTCCAGCAGAGTAAATCCTCAAAAGTTAGGATTCTTACTCTTTAAAAGTTTATCGCTCCTGGGCCTCCCTGGTAGCACAGCAGGTTGAGCGCAGTGCTGTGAATCTGTCCGCAGCCTCTGCAGTGCTGGTTCGATTCCCAGCTGGCCAGGGAAATACCCACATGGTGCGGCAGACCTCTCCTGTCTCGCCCGCTGCTCCTCTCAGTAGCGTATTTTGATCTGTCTGTTCTGTTCCCCACTCTGTCTGTGGTGAATCCTCTTACCCTCCCGTGCCTCTAACCTGTACCACAGTTCTTGTATAAAAATAAATAAATCTTAGGGCCTCCCCTGGTGGCGCAGCAGTTGAGCGCTGGCCTGTGAGGCTGCCCGCAGCCTTTGCAGCACCGGTTCATTCCCTGGCCACTGGCAAGAGTCCCACAAATAAATAAATAAATAAATAAATAAATAAATAAATAAATCTTTAAAAAAAAAGTTTACCGCTCTTGGCCTCCCTGGTGACACAAGGGGTTAAGACACAGCAGTATGAAGTAATCTGCACCCACTGCAGCACAAGTTCGATTCCCAGTCAGGGAGGTGACCCACATGGCGCAGCAAACCTCTCTTGACTTGCCCACTGCTCCTCTCAGCAGTGTATTTCAGTCAATTCGCCTGCTCTGTTCCCCACTCTGTCTCTGGTGAGTCCTCTCATCCCCCCCACACCTCTGGCCTGTTCTTCAGTGCTTGTGTGCATAAATAAATAAATCTTTAAAAAAAAAAGTTTATAGCTCCCTGGAGATTCATGCTGTCAAAACCTTACCTGTAGGGCCTCCCCGGTGGCGCAGCGGTTGAGCGCTGGGTTGCGAAGCTGCGCGCGGCCTCTGCGGCGCCGGTTCGATCCCCGGCTGCTCCCCGGCCACCAGAGGAGGGTCCCACATGGCGCGCAGACCTCTCCTGCCGCCCGCTGCTCCCCTCAGCAGTGTACTTCGGTCCTTCTGCCTGCTCTGCTCCCCGCTCTGGCTCTGGTGAATTTTCTCGCCCTCCCGCACTTCTGACTGTACCCAGTGCATGTATAAACAAAACAAACAAACAAACCAGCAAACAAATAAATAAAGCATGCCTCTATAAAAAAAAAAAAAAAAAAAAAAAAAAACCTTACCTGTAACAGTAGTTTGTCACTAGTCTGTAGTTCCTATGAGCTGTGATGGAGTCATGGATGCTTTTGGAAGGATTCCAGAGTCCAGCCTATCTGGTATATTTATCAATCCATCTGCAGGCATCACAGTCCAGTACTTGATGTCCCAGCTGTAACGACTGTCAGCTATGTAATAACCTTGGATCTGTACCCCCTTACAGCCTCACTCTCTTCATCTGAAATATGGAGCTCACTGGAGTATCTACCTTGAATGGTTGAGATGAAGATGCTGTGAGCTGCCGAATCCAGGGATTTGCATATATTACATGCTCAAATAATGGGAGTAGTGATTTTTAGGTGCCCTCTCCTTCCTTAGGCCCTTGGAGATCCCTCATATTCAGGAAGTCACTATTTTTCACTTTTTATCTGAGATTTTACTATCCATGATGGATGTCAGGCTGTTTTAATATATATGTCTGTTGAAGGAGAGTTGAGTAACTTTTATGGGCAGAGGACAATATAATTTATGAAGGTTACCTTGGCTCAGAGGGTTTATTTATTTATTTAAGATTTATTTATTTGTGTATACGAGAGCTGGGGTACAGGCCAGAGGTGTGGGGGTGGGTGAGAGGATTTACCAGAGATAAAGTGGGGAACAGAATAGCAGACTAATTGAAATACACTGCTGAGGGGAGCAGTGGGAGACTCAGGAGAGGTCTGCCTCACCATGTGGGTTGCTCCCTGGCTGACCGGGGATAGAACTCATTTGGCACAGAGAGTTTAAATGGGGTTTCCTCCCTGGCTTTGGGAAAGAGTTATTTTACCCATGACTTAATGAAACTGACATGGTGACTTCAGGGCTTATTACATCCACTGGTGAATCTGTAACAGGTGGTCCCCAGGAAAGGGGGAGGTTCCAGGTTTCCTGCCCCACCCAAAAGAGGGTGGAGCTGAGCAAGGAGAGAAGAAGCTGCAGAGAAGAAGGGAAGGGTAACTTTGGGTGCTTGGTTTAGAAACTATATCCTTTGCCTTTCCTGTATTGTTTACTAATGGTATTAAAATTCTTTTTTTCATTAAAGTCACATGTTTTGTGTTGATGTGGCGGATGGCAGAACCTATTTAGAGCAGGCAGGTTTGCGGGGTCTGGGGTACCCCTCTCCCTGCCCTGTAACAAGTCCATGCTGTTCACAGGATGATCCACCCACGCAGGCAGACTTGTGTGTGTGGTGGGGGTGTGTGAGGCCACGTTGACTCTGCTACCACAAGGTTCACATGGAGGCACTGCTTGTGAGGGGGGTGACCTCGTATACATGATCGTGGACACTGTCATGCGGTGTTGACCTAGGTTATGGGAATCAACCCTGTTTATGAGGGTCATACTGCCTGCCAGGGGTTCACACCATTTACGTGGATTGACCTGATACATAGGGTTCACAGAGTTTATGAAGCTTGCACTGTATGTATGGAGACTCAATTCTGGGTTCACCTGTCTATATAGGTTTGAGGGTCATGGTGTGAGGTTCACATTGCTTTGGAGTATTGGGCTATCTATTTGGAGTTTACACTCGCCAATAGGAGTCACACTGTCTATGGGGGTTTATATCAGTAATACCATTATATGACTGTAGGGGTTCTGCAGAATATGGGGTTCAATCAGCTGTACATGCACTCAGTTCATTTCAGCTAAGACATTCCAGGCAGCTCTCTAGCCCACTGTGACTATGCAGGTGCCTCTCATTTTTTTTTTCCTAATTGTTTCTCTTCTCGGCCTTTTGGCTAAGATCAAACGTAATATCATTTTCTATTTTCTTTCTCCTTTTCCTAATAAACCTCTCCTTAAAAAAAAAAAGAAGATGTAGTCCAGGGGGCCTTCCTGGTGGCCTATAGGTTAAGGTTTAGTGCTTTTACCACTATGGCCTGAGTTCGATCCCCAGCCAGGAAGCTGACCCATACGGCACGGCAGACCTTTCCTGTCTCACCCACTGATCCCTTCAGCAGTGTATTTCAGTAGATCTGCCTGTTCTGCTGCCCACTGTCTCACCCTCCCCCCACACATACCGCTGCACCTCTGGCCTACACCCCAGCTCTTGCGTGCATGCCTAAATAAATCTTTTAAAAATAGGGCCTCCCTGGTGGTGCAAGGGGTTAAGACACACCCTATGAAGCTATCTGCAGCCACTGCAGCACGAGTTCCATCCCCGGCCAGGGAGAAACCCCCATGACGCAGCAGACCTCTCCTGACTAGCTTGCTGCTCCCCTCAGCAGTATATTTCAGTCCATCTGCCTGTTCTGTTCCCCACTCTGTCTCTGGTGAATCCTCTCACCCCCCGCACCTCTGGCCTGTACTCCCATACTTGTATGCATAAATAAATATATCTTTTAAAAAAATCTTTTAAAAATAAATTAATAAAATCTTTAAAAAACAATGGAGGTTGTGGGTTTCTGAAATGGAGAAGAATGGGTGTGGGAGGGAGATGTTGGGGTGAGGCCATTTTGACTTGACAAATCAAGAAATCCAAATGATGGCCTTGCTGAGGCATTTTTTTTTTTTTTTTTTTTTTAATTTTCTAGAGGCATGTCTTATTTATTTATTTATTGTTTGTTTGTTTGTTTGTTTGATACATGCACTGGGTACAGTCAGAAGCGTGGGAGGGTGAGAGAATTCACCAGAGCCAGAGCGGGGAGCAGAGCAGGCAGAAGGACCGAAGTACACTGCTGAGGGGAGCAGCGGGCGGCAGGAGAGGTCTGCGCGCCATGTGGGACCCTCCTCTGGTGGCCGGGGAGCAGCCGGGGATCGAACCGGCTGCAGAGGCTGCAGGCAGCTTCGCAACCCAGCGCTCAACCGCTGCGCCACCGGGGAGGCCCCTTGCTGAGGCATTTTGATGTACGAAATTGGAGTTCACAAGAATTCTGGGCTGGAGGTAGGCATTTGAGTGTGATTGGCATGGAGATGGTACATGAGCCACAGAGCTCATCAAGGAAATGAGCATGGATGGATGAGAGAAGAGGACCTGTGACTGAGCCTGGGGCTCTTCAGTATATCAAGTGGGGAAGATAAGGAAGGGTGGCACTCTAATGGGGTTACATTTTCTGTTTGGGGTGGTCATGTTTAGATCTATAGAGAGTGGGTCATACCATTTCTTTAAAAAAAAAGATTATGCATACAAGAACTGAGGTACAGGCCAGAGCTGTGGGGGGTGAGAGGATTCACAAGAGACAGAGTGGGGAGCAGAACAGGCGGATCTACTGAAATACACTGTTGAGGGGAGCAGCAGGCATGTCAGGAGAGGTCTGCTGCGCCATGTGGGTAGCTCCCTGAGCTGGGATAGAACTTATGCTGCAGTGGCTGCGGATAGCTTCATAGGTTGTGTCTTAACCCCTTGCGCCACAAGGGAGGCCATTTCTAAGGATCATACCATTTCTTTTTTTTTTTTTTAAAGATTTATTTTTATTTATTTATACAAGCACTGGGCACAGTCAGAATCGCGGGAGGGTGAGAGAATTCACCAGAGCCAGAGCGGGGAGCAGAGCAGGCAGAAGGACCGAAGTACACTGCTGAGGGGAGCAGCGGGCGGCAGGAGAGGTCCGCGCACCATGTGGGACCCTCCTCCAGTGGCCGGGGAGCAGCCGGGGATAGAACCTGTGCCACAGAGGCCGCGGGCAGCTTCTCAACCCAGCGCTCAACCGCTGCGCCACTGGGGAAGCCCAGGATCATACCATTTCTAAGGGAAGTCTGACATTCATGGGTAGTAAGGGTTCATGGTTGCTAAGAGGGCTGATTGGTGAGTTGTGATTTTTATTGTCCCCATAGTTTTCTTCCAGGAGTGGTGTCTGTGAAGTGCTGTGGCTTCTGTGAAGATAGTTCTGTCCATGCCTTTGCCTGACCACCATAGGAGAATTGTTATCTGTGTCGGGACAGTAAACCAGACAAGAACAAGGAGGTTCAGAGGAGTGAGGTTCATCACACACCTGTTTTAGGATATCTGAATTTTTCATAGCAAACAGGGTATTTGTGTTTTTGCGGTTGACATAGCTTTGGTTGGACAGTAGGTTTGCAAGGACTGGTCAGCGGTTGATGACTAGTTTCTGTTCCATGTTGGCAATATCTGGATGTTACACAGTGAACAGTGGGGTTCATTATCCCTGAGGATGGGTCTCGGTAACTCAAAAGACAATTGAACTATGTGAGAAGATCCAGACTTCTGTGGTAGTTTCATGGGGACCCCTGAGGTCTTATAATATCCTGTGGACAGGTCTGCACAAGCTGCCAGGGGTCATGTTTTCCAGGGGACATTTTTGGCAGGGACCCCCATCCTCTAGGGATATTTCAGACTTTCCCATGAGCCATGCCCACCAACTTTGATTGGGTTTCACAGAAACAGTGGGACGGAGCTAGCCAACTGGGTGGGGGTGGCATTATGCCATGAATAGGCAATTTCACACAGTTGATGCCGTGTGTTTATGGTCTACAGTAGGAGTCTGTTGGGTGAGGGGTGCTTACATTGTCCACAGGGTGTATAGTTCACCCTGCTAATACGATTTATGGCACTCTTACTTCATATCTCAAATTTCTCACAAACACCTAGTCAGGTAAGGTATATTAATATCCACATTTTACAGATAAGGAAGCTGAGGCTCAGAGGTAAACTCACTTGTTCTACTCACAGACAGGAAGTAGCAGAGTTAGGGTTGCAACCCAGGTCTCTGTCTTGCTGGTGGGAAGGTGGACGTCTTTGAGGCTGTTTCAGACCTGTTATCTTTGCAATTTTGCAGGACCCTTTTCTTTTTTTTTTAAAGATTTATTTATGCATAAAAGATCTGGGGTGTAGGCCAGAGATGCATGTGTGTGTGTATGTGTGTGAGAGAGAGAGAGAGAGACAGAGGAGAGAGAAAGAGAGAGAGGATTCACTAAGACTGAGTGGGGAGCAGAACAGGCAGATGTACTGAAATACACTGCTGAGGGGAGCAGAGGACGAGACAGAAGAGGTCTGCTGTGCCACGTGGGTCAGCTCCTTGGCCCAGCATCAAATTTGCACTGCAGTGGATGCTGATAGCTTTATAGTGCTGAGACTTAACCCCTTGTGCCACCAGGGAGGCCCCCAGGATCTTTTTTTTGAGGGGGGAGGGCAGTAAAGAAGGTAGGAAGTACAGTGGTTAAAGGGTGGTGATTTGGTGTCGGAGAGATCTGGGTTTGAATCCTGGCTCTTAACACTTCCAGGGTATAAGACTGGGAGACTGATGTCCCTTCTGAGCCTTGCTTTCTTTATCTGTGAATGGGGATAACAGTGGCAATTCCCTTCTTTGAGATTTTGTGGGGATTAAATGAGAAGATGCACCAGACAATGCTTGGCCCTGTGCCTGGCACATCATGAGCGCTAGGAATTCGGGAGCTGTTATTAGAACAATGATGATGATTATTATTGCTGGACCACACTGCTCCCAGGGGGTTACAATATCCGTGGGGGAGCTGTACTGTCCCTGGGCAAGGTTACATAATTCCCCAAGGGGGTGCTGCTTCCCTGGAGGCCTTGGTCTCCCTGAGGAGAAAGGACGGCTGGAGACTTCTTCTGAGGCACCCATGAAGGGCTGGTTTAACATAGCCAAGAAGCCAGGTACCTGGGTTCCTAGGTCGGGCTGAAACCCTAAGAACCCAGAACCTGACCCTGCAGGCTTTTCCAGCCGGTGGACTGTCTGACTCTCCCCGCCCGGTTTATGGGTTTCAGTCTCTCTGAACAGCCCCCCCCTCCCCTTTGGTACCTCAGGGTCTTTTTGAGACTTTGTTTCCAGGTTCTGCCTGTGAATATTGCTTCTATTTGCCCTCTATCTGGCTGCGCGCTTCCGCCGGCCATCTGATCAGCGCGGATTTCCTATTTCCCGAATCTTCAGGCTCCATCCATCCCTCCGGCTGCGGAAAACGGAGACTTAACGGTCCTACGCGCGGCCTTCTGCCTTAAGCCCTGCCTTCCTCTCTCCTGGCGACCCCTCAGTGCCCCTTGAGCGCACATTTGTTCAGACTTTGGTCGCCCCCTCGCATCCTGGCCCCACCTCCGGAACCCCTAGCCCTGGCGGTGGAGGTGGGGTATCTCCGGCGCCAGCCGCGCACCCAGGACAGCTGCAGCCTGGGGATGGAGGGGGCGCTCCCGAACGCATTCTCTCTGGTCACTTCCTCCGCAGCTGGGATTGGGGCTATCTGGAAGGTCAAGACCCCATCCCCGGAGGAACGGAGGGCACAGCACAGCACCTCCCCATTTCCGATGCTGGGAAATGCTTCCCACCCATTCCACCCCACCCCTGGACAGCTGCCCCCACTGAGGCTCGGGGGTGGGGGGGCAGGCAGGGTAAGGCCAGACTAGGAAGTGTAGTGATCCTGGGCACCTTCTAAGGTCCCGACCCTGCCCCCTGCAGAGAAGATCCTGCCTCTTCCCAAAAGGCCCATGCCCCCGCCATACAAAAGTTTCTGAACCCCCCCCAAGACGGTCCCCCCTCAGTTCTTACAGGTTCCCAAAAGAAACTCCGGATCCTGCAGTGGGTAGGAGAGGAGGAGGGGCGGCAGGTCGCGAGTGCCGAGGACTTAAGTTATCTGCAGACTTGGAGCCTCCGAGAAGGGTCACGACCCCTTGGGACCCCCGCCCCATCCCATCCCCGCCCCCTTCTTCCTTCCTCCCCTGTCGCGCGGCCCCTTTAAGCCCAGAGCCGGCCGGCCCTCAGTGGCTGCGAGCCGGCGGGTGTGTGTGTGAGTGCGCGGGGAGGGGGCGGGCGCAGTGTCTCCATGGCGACGCGGCGGTGACGTAGCCGGCCGGGGGGCGTGGGCGTCCCGGCCCCGGAGTGCGATATTAACCCGGGAGGCGGCGGCGGGGAGGGGAGAGGCTCTGAGAGGCGAGGCCGGGTGAAGCGGCGAGGGCGGCCCGACGGGCGCGGGACGGGACGGGGCAGCGCGGGCGCCGGGAGCTGCGGCCCGGAGTCGGGGCGCCTCGCCCCGGGCCCCCAAGCATGAAGACCCCGGCGGACACAGGTGGGGGCGGGGGCAGCACGTGTGGGGGAGACTTGTTGCCCCGGGAAACCAGGCAGAGAAACTTTGGGGGGGGTTGAAGGGTTCCGGGGTAGCCCGAGTGATCCCCAGTTCCGGGGGACCCCCAAGCACTCAGGACCTGTTGCTTCTTTCGGCGCGAGCTGGGGGTGCTGCATGGGACCCCCCAATTTCACACTCCCAGCGGAGTGGTGTGGGTGTTGCTAGTCTCGGTCCTCTCCCTGCCTGGATCCCCCAAACTGGGCTCTGCTCCGCTCGCAGGATCCCGGGGGCGGCGGGGTCCCTACCCGCCGTTCTGTCACGTTGCACTTCGGGGGCCGGGATGTGTGCGGGGCGTGGGGGGCCCTGGCCACGGGGCCCGCTATTCCCGGCTCCGCGCTGCGCGGTCCGGCCGGTGACCTTCACCGCGGCGCTGGCCCCGCACGATCTCCGGGGGCTCCGGGACGGCCCGCGGGAGGAGGGCGTGCGCGGGGCGCCCCGGCCCCGGGTCCGGGCTGCGCCGCCCCTCCCCCGCCCGGCTCCGCCGGCTCCTCGCTCCCCCGCCCGCGCCGAGTCGCAAAGTTCCAAAGCGCAGCCCGAACGTTCGAAAAAGGAACTTTTTGTTTCCGACCTTAGAACGCGCGGCTTTAAGGTGGCACGGGGGAGACCGGGCACCCTCCTCCCGCGCCGCGGGGCGCCGGGGCCGGAGGGGGTGGGGAAGCTGGGGGGCCGCGGAGGCGCTCCCCCTCCCGCGCCAGCCCTTTGAGCGAGCGTCTCCTCCCTCCGCCCCTCTGCGCCCCGCCAACTTGCTCCTCCTTAAGGGGCCAAGGCTCCCCTCCCCCCGCGGCGGGCGGGGGGCAGCGGGATTAACCCCCCTCCCGCTCGGACTTTCCCCCCTCCCCTCCCCCGCCGCCCCCGGGCTTTCGCGGGCTGGACTTTGCGCCCCGGCGCGCGGGGGGAGGGGTCCCGCCGCCCCCTGCCCGTCTACCCCGTCGGAATCCGGCCCGGGGCGGGGACGGGGGAGGGGGAAGGGGCCGGGCGCCGCTGTTCAAACTTGTTTCCTTCCCCAGGCGGCGGCCGGGGCTCGGGCTCCCGGGTGCGGGTGTGTGCCCCGACCGGCCCACCCACCCTGCCCCCCGCCGGGGGGCGGCTCTTAAAGGGCGCGGAGCCGGGCCGGGGCGCCTGGGGCCGGGGCCGGGGAGGGGGCTGGGGGTGGGGCAGGGGTGCGGCGCGCTGTAGGGTCAGTCACGTGCGTCCCTCAGGCTCTCCCCGGCTCCCGCGGGCTCCCGGGCCTCGGGCCTCGGGGGTGGCCGGGGCCGGCCTCGCCGGGGAGGGGGCCGCGGCGCCCAGACAACCCCGCCTCGGCTCCCCGCGCCGCTCCTGCCCTTCGCCTGGTGGGACCGGCTGGGCCGCTCCCCGAGCCCCGTCTGGGGCGGGGGGGCGCGCTGTGGGGGTTCTCCGGCTGGGAGAGGGGGCGGGAGGCCGGCGAGGGCCTCCCGAGCCGCCCGTCGGTCTGTCGGGCCGCCCGCGCCGCGCGCCCGCATCCCGCCTGCATCCCGGCCGGCTCCCGGCCGCGGCTGTTCCACTTCCTGTTTTCTTCCCGGCGCTGGCGCCACCGAGGGCTGCCCGGAGTGGGGGAGGCGGTGGGCCCCCCAGGAGGCTGGCGTGCTCTTCCTCTCCCACTAGCCCTCCCTTCCGACCCCCGCCGTCCCTTAAAAGTTGGGCTGTCAGTGAATTTGGGGGGTGCCCGGCAGTTGTGCGCCCTCCCCCCGCAGGTTGCCACGGTCTGTCTAGGAGAATCCCTGCCCTGCTTCTGTGGGAGCCCGTGTGCCTTCTGGGACCCCGCCATCCCAGCCCTTCCTGTCTGTCTGCCACCATAACTACCCAGTCTTGAAGTGTTCTGAAGCCTTCTGTGTCCGCTGCTCGCTCCCTGCCTCACTGTCCTCGGTGCACGGGAGGTCCCACACCCCCAAGCTTTCTTGGTGCAGGCCGGTGGTTCCCGGTTTTCAGCACGTGGATCCATACACAACACACACTCACACATGCTCTCCTTGCCCGTGCCTGGCTCCTGGCTCCAAGGCCTGAGGAACAGAGCCCCATTGAGATACCCTGACGTCACCCCCCCCCCCATCCATCTCCCCCCAAAGCTAGGAACAGGCCGTCATGTATGCTGGGGATGGGGTGGGCCTGGGAGTAGGGAGGGACCCTGCAGAAGTGGGATCCAGGGTCCTGGCCCCAGAGGGGGGTTGCTCAGGGAGGGGACTTAAAGAGGGATCCTGGGACAGCCCCCCAATGCAGCTTTTGCAGAGCCCCCACCTCCCTTCCAGTTCCCTTTGTGTTGCATGTAGTCTCTCTCACTCCTTCTCTTCTGCAAAGTTTATTTTTAGCCTCCTGCTCCCCCGCTCCCAGGACTGTCGCTGCATACACGTTGCCTGGTTACCGGGACAAGGAGGCTGGGGCGGGTGGGCTGGGAAGGGTGGCTTTAATTTTGGGGGGGTAGGGTGGAAGTCAGTACACCCCCAACCCCAAACTGATGTCTCAGGGGCCATATCCTCCCCCCCTCCTGCATCTGAGAGCCAGATTGGGGCTTAGGTGGGAGGAGCATGGCGCTTGGAGTCCTAAAGGGGGCGAGGAGCTTTATGGAGGGGTTGGAGGGTATATGGAGCTGGTGGTTTGGTCACTTGGCTTCTCAAGGACCTCTGGGCCCTGAGAGACCCTGGGTCCTGTAACAGGAGGCTAATGGGGTGAACACCTGGATTCCCAAGAGAGGGATGAGGCTACAGATGCTGGGGTCCTTGCAAGGCGCTTTTGAATGGAGCAGGGGCTGCTAGAATGGATCAGACCCTGAGACTGTGACTATTAGAGGTCACGTCCCAGGGGCCCAGGGTGCGAGCTTGTTTGAATCTGGGGATTTGTGAATGAGGCGGGGAGTAGGTGGCCATCCCTGTCCATCTAAAGGCCAGGGGCCAGGGAGTCAGGTCCCTGTGGGGAATGGAGTCAGCTCTGCATGTAGAGGGGATGTGCCCCGTGTCCCCGAGGGGAAAGGTCCTTGTTGGATTCTAGACTGGACTGGAGTCTTTTGGGGGAGGCTCGGTGTTGCCCCTAGCCTTGGTTCCTGCTCGAGCTGGCGCTCGGGCCAGGGCAGTGAGGCTGACTGTAGCAACCTGACTGGAACTTGGGACCCACGCATCTTTAGCTGTCCACCTTGGTCTTCTCCATTGAGTGGCACCAGGGCCCCTGCCTGGCCTCCCCCTTCTTCTCTTCCTCCCTTTTCCCTCCTCCCACCCCTCCATTACCGGCTGCCTAGTGCTGAATTATTGATGGCCCCTGATTACCCGGGGGTTTGGGAAATGACAACAACCGCAGCCCCCCACCCCAGGCTGCCCACCCCCTCTAGGGACCAGCCAGCCCACCACCAACCTCTACCCAAGGTTAATGCTGGGGGCGGGTAGGCAGGTGGGCAGGAATGCTGGGGATGAGAAGGCAGAAGGGGGAAGAGGCGACAGGCTTCAGCAGGGCCTGTTCAACCGTCTGGCCTGAGCTGGGGCCCTGCAGCCAGGTGGGGCCAGTGTGCCCAGGTCTGGGGAGGGCAGTGCAGCGGAGGGTCCAGGGCTTGGGGGGGCTTCTCTCAGACAGTCTGAGTTTCACTCTCCAGGGAAGACAGAAGCCTCTGTGTGTGCTAGCGCTGACCTCATCGTCAACCAGCCACCCCACCCCTCCTGGTCCTTTTAAGAAAAAAAAAATTCCTCCTCTTGGTCCTGGGGTGGGAGAACGTGCTCTGGTAGTCTTGGGAGGGAGACAGCGAATGTTTCTAGGAGGGCACCAGAGGAGCTGTGTGTGGGGGATGCGATTGGCTCTGAGTAGGAGTGGGGGGGCTCTGATGGGGAGCTCACCCCAACCTGTCTGGCCACGTGTGCCCCTTCCTGCCCCTCCCCCACTGGCAGCCCTGCCCGCCGGCCTGGCTTGGTGCCTAGCCCCCTGGCACTGGCCCCGGGACCCGCCGCCGACGGTTTCCTGTTTCTCCCGGTGTCGCTGGAGCAGGCTCCAGCTTCCCCTCCCCCCAGCTCCTATCTAGCCCCCCTCACACGGACAGATGCACACTGTTTCTCCCTAACCCAGGTCCTGATTTGGCTGAAGGGAGACGGATTTCCTCAAGTGCAGGGTGGGGTAGGTGGTGGTCCCTGGGGTACAGTACCCAGAGGCCCCCCCCCCACGCCTTGGCATCCTGACCCAGGCCGCCCCCCTGCCTCCGTCCCCAGGGTTTGCCTTCCCGGATTGGGCCTACAAGCCCGAGTCGTCCCCGGGCTCCAGGCAGATCCAGCTGTGGCACTTTATCCTGGAGCTGCTGCGCAAGGAGGAATACCAGGGTGTCATCGCCTGGCAGGGGGACTACGGGGAGTTCGTCATCAAGGACCCTGACGAGGTGGCTCGGCTCTGGGGTGTCCGCAAGTGCAAGCCCCAGATGAATTATGACAAGCTGAGCCGGGCCCTGCGGTGAGGAGGGCAGATGGGGATACTCCTGGGTGGGGAGCACCTGACCTACAGGAATCGGCTTGGGGTTTGACCCTGGCTCTGCCAGAGCACAGCTGTGCGACCTTGGGCAAGTCCGAACCCCT